ACTTTCATATTATTAAATTAAAGAGTTGATAGTCTTTAGGTTTCTATTGAACGTATTAATAAAAATCTCATTATTACGGAACTACTTACTAAAGATTTATCATCTAAAGTTTCTCATGAGAATGTGTCTCGTGTGGACGTGATTTATATTGAAATGCTTATATAGTAGAGGTTTGATTATTGATATATTTTTTTATTAGACTAAGTGTTGTTTTTCTCTTAGTTGGTAAAATTTAGACGTAAAATTTATTCTTTTAATATCGTTTTACATAATGTATTTAAAATGTTCATAACTCTTTTGAGATTGAAAATATGAATGATATAAGAACACATTATGTAAAATTTTCTTGATATACTTTTATATTTTACCTATGTCATTAATAATATCGATATGGTGATCACTAATGGGTTTTGTTATTAAAATTATGATAAAGATCGTTTTGCTTATAAATTGACATTAATGATGGACCAGATTATTGTGAGATATTATTCCATGAAGATAAATCTAAAATTTAATGCCTATTAAATTTCGATCAAATTAATGGTTATTAATTAGTTTTTAATCATCCCATTAATTGGTATAGAGTTATGACGTATAAGGTCGAGTATTTCGTTTCTTTTATATTAGGCCAAATAAGTAAAATATACTACAATATAAAAGTCTTCTTGCTCAATGTAAGAATGATTCTTTCATTTGTTAATATCCCATCCCTGAGTAAAAAGAAATATACCTTGGAGAAACATCACTTTAGACTGAAACTTTCATGTTTATTTTCAAGGGATTTAGGTACAAATCTGACTAAAATCTTTTGATGATTTGGTATGAGATATTGGTTTTGATGATATTAGTTTTTATCATTTTATGATTTCAACAAGTCCTAATGAAGAAATTGTTGAGATAAGATCATAAGGCTAATAATGATGATGAATTATGCATTACGTTTTTTCTTGCCATAGATTAAGTACAACTCATATGTATATAGATCAACAAAAGGGTATTGATTGTTACAATTTTGGGCAGGTCTCATTTTATTTATTATGGATTGATCTAGTTTTGTTAATATATTATCTAAGCTCCTTTAGCTTGCTCTATCTTGACTCTTTCTGTTTAATTCACAAGGCGAAACACAATCATGATAAGTCTAATTTGATCTACTTTCGAGAGAGTATTGGCAGATTATTTATTTTTATTTTTTTTCATTGTATGTTATACACTCTTATAATCCTTTTCATAGCCAAATGTTTGTGCAAACTACATGATCATTTATTCTAATTTGATGTTGCTTGTCAACAGCATTTTTTTTTCAAATAGCTTTCTATCATTTTTTTTTTATTTTTATAAAATGTGGGTTTTAAAGGGCTATATGTTAGTAGGTCAAATCAGTTCATGAATTCACTATCATGGGCTTACACATGTGAACATTTCAGTCTCTATGAAACTAGTGAACTATATTTTGTATCAAATGGCACCACACTTGATGGAGATCTACATGCATACATTCATAGAAATTGTTGATTGATTAAATGACTCGAACAACTTGATTTTATTTTCATTTACTTGGTAATCATTGACGGAAATTCCTCGGATGAATGCCTATGATTTCCAAGTGATAGGTTGGTTTATATGGCATAAGATAGGCTTTCACTAGTTTGATTTTTGGTTTACTCGAGATTTAAGTTCTTTGGTTCAAGCCATTATTTCCTTTTGTTCACTCTTAAACTATTTGGAGCTTCACATTATGGATTTTCTTTTTTGCACTTTTGTTCACTATATTGCTTTCGGTTTTATGTTCGGTACTTGCAGTGCTCCTTATGGCAAATTGCTTGTTTAGTTGTAGTTTCTTGTTCTTAGGACTCTATGTAGGGTTGTCAAAAAGCTCGTTGTTCGTGAACAATTTGTGTTCTGTTCGTCAATGAGTTCATGTTCGATTCGTTCGATAAGTAAATGAGACGAATATGAACACATTTTTTTTGTTCGGTTAGTTAAATGAACCAAACACGAACAATGATGTATTCGTTCGTGTTTGAATCGTTATTGTTCGAAATATAAAATAATTTAAAATAATTATATATAAAAAAATTATGATATTTTAAAAAATTAAGTTTTATAAATTATAATATATAATAAATTATTAATAATAATATATTAATATACTATATTAATAATATATTAATATATTATATTAGTAATATATTAATATAAATATTATATATTTATATCATATAAGTTATATAATTAATATACTATATTATTTATATATATTAATATTAGGGATGTCAAACTGGCTCGTCGTTCGCGAACATCTCGTGTTCGGCTCGTTCGTTAAGAAACGAACACGAATAGTGAGTTCACGAACAATTTCGAACACGAGCTTATTTCAAACAAACTAAATTTCAAACGAACCGAACACGAACACCAGCTCTGCTCGTTCGTGTTCGGTTCGTTTACACCCCTAACTCTATGTTTCACCATATGTTACTTGATTTGAACTGTCACTAGTTGCTGCTTTGGATAAGTTAAAAGCAGTTGCATTTTCTCTTACCACACTTCATGGGTGTCCTTGAGGACTTTATGGTTGCTATTTGAAATTCACATATTAATGCAGATGACCTTTAGTGCAAATTGAGGCTTTGTTTTGGTGAGCACTGATATATTATTTGCGATAGCTTCATTGATGAGTTCTATTTCAGTTTGAAATCAATACTTAAATTTTTAGAATTAATGGAGTTGGAATTGGTTGATTTTGTGCCAACCCTATCTACTAACAGATAAATTCTCTTTTGAAATCAATACAAATCTTTGAATAGAATGAAACTCTGAAGTTATTTTAATTCTTGTCACTCATAGCGGATGCCGCATAAAACCCTCACTCTTGCCCACAAACAAGGGGGTTCCCTTGTGATCGTCCTCCTCTACTGTACCTCATTGCATCACTTCTCCCCACTGCAGACTTGTGTTGGGTTTGTCTTGCTTCATACCTACTTGTGTTTGGAGTGTGCTTATGCTATCTTCGCTCACCTATGGTAGCTAGCTTCCATTTAGAAATGTGGCCATGTAATCTTGCTTTTTCTCTAATTGTTGGCGTTCAATCCGGGCAACTTTATATTATAGTCTCAATTTTTGCTACTTGTGTCGTCACTGTTATCAGGTAGCACTTGTTAACTTTGTCTCCACGATCCTAATTCCTTTACTATCATCTCTCCTTGGATGTTCTTAGGGTTACCATCATGACTCGCCATTATCTTTGCATCCAATGTTCATGGCTCCCATTGTCTCAGATAATCATTTCACTACTTACATTTCATTGAACACTGCCTTTTTTGCTTACAGATTTTGTTCCTTTTTTAAAGTTATGGATGGATCGTCAAATTCAGGACTACATATTTCTCTTTCCATTCATTTTACTTTTCTTTTCACCAAGGTATAGTTTAACCACAATACAAGTAATCATCTTTCTAACAAGGCAAACTTGCTCTCCTTTTTTCCAAGGATGAGATCTCTGAACTTGTTAGATTATTGTCATTATCTATCGCAAATAAATTCTCCTTTGATTGGCTCAATGTTGATGCCATTCAAAAATGCCTACATTGATGACTATTCAATTGGGTTAAATGATCCTCGTACAATCATAGATTATCCTTAGATGCAGACTATACCAAAACTCTTATCTAGATGTTCCTACTATATCAGTGGCTCTCCAATGCCTATGTTTAAGGCGGTGTTCTCGTTGTTTTCGCTTTTTGTATGGCAACCACACTCTTTAATATATTGTTTTATTATTATTTTTTGAAATTTTTATGGTGGGAATCTATCATTTTGTAACTAGATCTGCTAGAGTGTGGTAGAAATATTGCTATTTGAGTTTTTAAAAAAGAATATTTATAACATCCACAATAGCCTTAAAAAAATTACTTGCCCATAATAACTGTACAATTACATTTACAAAATGTCGTAGCTGCCCCAAACTAATGTTAAGTGATCTTCCCATTTTGATGCATTCATGGAACCAACTATTTGGGTAGCTTTTCATTAGCTTAGCTTACAATTCTTCAACTGATTCACTTTTTACTTGAGTTATTTATTTGGCTAACTTATGTAAATAGATACTGCTATTGGTCATATTTTGAGGCCTTTTGTGGCCAGATTTCTAGTCGAAATAAATGCTTCTTCGCTGTTGGAAAAGGCAGCGTGACTTAGCTTACAGCATTGTGGATATGTATAGAATATAACATTTGAAGGCATCCCCTTAATATTTACTCTTTTTGTTAGTTTTTTGGGTACAACTCTGACTTCTTCAAGAATTATCTAGATTTGAGGATATTAGATGTTCAGGCACAAGCGATACATCCAATTATTTAGATCCTTTCCACTACCACAATGGTTGCTAATTCTTCATCATCAGTTCAAGTTTGCATTTAAAATTTCGAAGCAATTTTTTTTTCCTTTAGATTTTGAGACTAATTACACCTGCTAGCCGTATAAAATTGCTCTCTAGTTTTTGATGTTCTTCCTCTCTCTTTTTTTAATGATGCTTTGTAATCCGAGGGTTATATAATGGAAGCATTATGCTTGATGATACGTTGATGGATGGAGCTATAATTGTAAAAAAAAATCATCATTCTGTTATTTTTACCAGATTTCCAGCAAGACAATTCAAGCAAGTTATTTATTGTGAGCTTTTGATTGATGAAATTTCAATCTTGTGTGCATATTGTATATGAAATTCCTTCTTGTATTGTGCCAAGTGATGGAAAACTTTTGGGGGACTATATCTCATTTTACAAGTATAAAGTTAGATATATATTTTTTTGTTTTTTATTTTGCTGCTCTCACCTTAATTCTTTTATTCTTGGTCTTTTTGTTAGTTATATTATTGGTGTTTTAGTTCTGATCATATTAGTTACATATGCAAACTTTCCGTAACTCAAAATACTGAGCTACTGCTTAATTTCCATTTACTCACTATGCTGTTCACAAAATGTTATATTTTACCAATGCAGGTTTTGCCCTACCTGCTCAAGCAATTAGCAGAGTTCATCCTTCAACTCCCAGAAGATGGACAGAACGCGACGCTTGACGAGCTCTACGTCCAAGTAGCAGAATCGGATGATGTTACGAGGAAACCAGTGCTCGTCTCATGGCTGCAGTCACTCTCTTACTTATGCTCACAGAAAGTAAGCTCAAGAACCAAACCCAACAACTTGATTTCTCCGTCAAATACTGCAGCCAGCCTGAATGGGACAAGCAGACAAATTCTGCCGAGTATGCTGTAGTCATAGAATGCTGTAACGGTTGTTCTGTTTGTATATATTAAGCTTTGGGACTTTTCAAGGGGATTTATTAAATGTTGGGTTTAAGCCAAAACGTAGGAAAAATAGGATTTAAGAATATGTAGGATTTAAAGATGTTATTTTTGCTGTTTGATGGGGTTTAAGTTAAATCTTGGAAATCCTGCTACCAAGAAACTCTTATTTCACATTTCTACGAAACAAGATTGCATGATTAATAAGCACTGCTAAAAATGCAAAATTTAATCAGACTTGAAAAGTTAAAGATAATTACAATTCATACTCAATTTAACTTTTTTGACGGTGCAAGACAATAACATAAAATATTCATAGTAATGTAGTTAGAGAAGGAGACCATGTACATCAAACTCTAACCAGAGAGATTACAAGGCTTTGAGGTGAGATAAATTGATGCTGGCGGTTGGCTGAATTACTTGAGGGAGAAAGGCTCGCAAAATTTTCAACTGAGATAAATTGATGTTTGTGGTTGGCTCAATTAATCGGATGAAGACTTGGCTGGGGACTGCTTGGTATGGGATTGACTGTTGAAAACCGTGCCTGCCCACGCATGCATTTTTATGTCACGCGAAATGTCTAGGGTTCCATTTCATTCATGATCAGACTTTCCTCCTACGCATCGCCTTCTCCTCTCCGCGTCGCCTTCGTGGCCTTCTCCTCTCTGCCTCGTTGGTGAGTTTTCATTTCTCCTCTGCATCATTGGTGAATCGCTCTTCTTTCATCTGTGTTGCCATTTCTCCTCTCAATCACCAAGGTAATGTGATCCCACGGTTTTCAATTTCATTGTTCTGTGTCGCCTGACTCTCACGTAAACTCATTACTCATTTTTTAGAGTTTTCGTGGGATGTCGAAGCATGAAATAGAAGAAACAAAGGGCAAAGACAGGTGTCATGAAGTTTCAAGGTACATGGTTTCGACTATGAGAAGAAATGGGTTATGTTTATTTGTCAGTGTTTAATTTATACTTGTATAAATGAAAAATTTAAATTTAAAATTTGAGCTTATATATCATCCTATTTTTTTAAATTTTACATATGTTCCTGCGACCTTCAAAGTCAATTGCTGTGATATTTAAGGATTTAAAAGATATGGTGGCCTTAATAATTAAAGAATGTGAAGATATAATAGTAATTGTAAGAATTTATAATGGTATATTTTCTTCTTAATTTAGTTGGCATTTAATGTTTATGTGGAGTTTGGTTTGCAAGGCAAGAATTTGATGCATGATTTTAGGGCAAGGTTTAAATTAGAGAACTTAACCTTAAGGGATGTTTGTAAAAGTAAGTTGAAATTGAGCCAGAAAATAAATTCTTTGTGTTTTTTCATATCAAAGAGTTTTGCTTGGCACTTGTGCAGGAAAATAAATACTGTAATTGAGCAAAAATCTATCACCTAATGTTTCGTACCTAAAATTTGAGCCATATACAATCATGACTTGATAAAGTTCATTTGTTTAATGTGAGGAAAGACACAATAGATAAGCACAATATCATCCCAATATCACATTAATACCACCCTAATACCACATGCATTGATTCACACCCAATACCACATCAATACGTCCCCAATGCCATCCCAATACCACCCCAATAACACATGCCTTGATTCACCCCTAATAACACCTCAATACCACCCCAATACCACATGAACTGAGTGTCCCCAAATACTACACCAATTACCACCCCAATACCACATGCACTGATTCATCCTTAACATCTTCTCAATACCACCCCAATACTAGCCAATACCAAATGCATTGATTCACCTCATTACCACCCCAATACCATACTAATACCACATGGATTGAGGTGATACTGGGGTGGTATTGATGTGATATTGTGGTGGTACTGTGGTGATATTGAGATGATATTGAGGGTTTTGCACCAATATATTTTTAGGGTGGTATTGATGTGGTATTGAGATGGTGTTGGCGTGATATTCGGGTTTTGTGCCTATATATTTTTGAGGTGGAATTGGGATGATATTGGGGTGGTATTGGGGTGATATTAAAGTGGTATTGGGATGATATGTTGATTTTTGGGAGAAAATATTATTAAAATGATACTGAGGTGGTATTGGGGTAGTATTTATGTGGTATTATGTTGTACACTTGGCATGATCTTGGGATGAAGATGATTTAGAGTTTTTAAACACAAATGCACCAATTATCATGTTTTTTGCATTTACTATTTAAAAAAGTGGTGGTGTCTGCTAGTATTGTATTGAAATTATGGTGAGAAAGATATTAAAGTTTGTAATATCAACATAAAATTGATTTAAACTACATAAGAGCAAGAGCAAAAGACAAAACAATGTAACTGATTTCAAAATTCACCTTCATTTTATTCTTGTCATCATTTTTAAAACTCTCCATCTTCAGAAATTAATCAACTATGGATTTATTATAGTTCTCCTCTCCTGAATATGCTGCAAAAAGTCCTAAATGAAACCCTAAAACGCCCAGAAGAAATGATGACGGTTGTGTAACGGGAAAGGGAACCCTAGGCAGAAGTGGCGATGAGATAGGGCGTGAGTATTTAAACATGCTTTTTATTCTAGAAACATTTTAGAGTTGCTTTTTCCATAATATTTTTCGAATCGGTTTGGGTCGAGTTCATTCAACGTCAGAAGAGTTCATTGTCCTAGTAAAAATAATATTATAATGTGGGCCAACCTTACATACAAATGTCGAAATATTACTGGAGTTCGGATGCAAAACTACGTCCAAACTCTGTACAGAATAATTTTCTAAGTTATAGGATCTGTTTGGCAGGACAATGGGAGGGCTTCCTCATGATTAGGGTTGTGGGGCAACTTTAATTTAAATTTTTTTTTTT